AAAAGTTCAAGATTGTAACGAAAAGGTCCCACGCATGGACAAGGCGGTCGAGGGTGGTGAAAGAAGGGATTCCGATTTACCTGCAGGAAAGAAACGCTTTCATTTTTTTTCCTCCCACGGTAATATAGGTGCGCGTTTGGGCGCAGACGCCTGAATACCCGAAACCTTCTCGCCCCCCAATAAAGTGTTGCTTAAAGCACCGCAGCCGTTTAACCAAGTTAGCTAGTTGAATACTGAAAGGCCAGCCAAAGGAACAATGAAAGCGGGCAGCGGAGATAATAATGGAGCAAAGGCTTTTCGATCCCCGAAACGTTAATCACTTCCTTTCCTGCACGCTACCTCAGACTCCCGCTGGTTCTGTGGGAAAGAGTTTAAGCAAGAGCTTCACATGCGCTGGTTGGAATCAAGGGGCTTAAAATTATTTGAATACTGGCATATTTTTCTTTAGCAATGACAAAGGAAAAATAATACTGAGGCAGATTGCCTTTAGGTGGGAAACTAAATTATTGTTCAGTCTTCCTGTGGATTTCTTTGGTATCTTTCCTTAGACAATTCCCAGGTGAAATTAAAAAAAAAAAAAAAACCTTAGGCAGAAGCAAAAAGTTAATACGAGTGGGAGTGAGAAGATGGTGTGTGTGTGTGTATGTATGTGTGTGTGTGTGTGTGTTTTAAAGGAAAGCAGATTCTGATTACTCAGATGTATAATGATAACTTTGGCTAGAGATTCAGACCCAGTTATCTTCCCCTCTTTCATGCAGCTCCCTTAGTATCTTTATTTCTTGGGGTGGGATGTTGGTCATGTTATCAATAAAACTTGTTCTAAGGCCTGGTTAGTATTGGGAAGTTCCAGAACACTGGTGAGTCCAAAGACACCCCAGAAGACCATTGCAGACCTTTCCCACACCTCCTCAGGTTCAATTCGACTGTATTCCCCTTCCCCAAGAATCCCAGCCAGAAGGGCTGGGATTTTCTTACTTCTTATTTCAGCATTTAAACGTCTCTGTCCACATCAGACCAGGCTGCCTGGGCCTGGTTATCTCAGGCAACCGCCTATCTACAATAGTTTCTGTCCACCCAGTAAGATTGGCAGAGTGAGTGTGTCCCAGGTCACCCGAATCAAGCAATGTCACTTAGGAAGAGCAGCTTCTCCGTGCTTTCCTTCTGAAACAGCATCCCCTGAAGGTCTGTAAGGCTCCTATCCTGCGGTTGCTCCAAAAGCTTTGCTTCTAGGCCTGAGGTTAGAATGGCCCTGGAGTCTCCCTTTTTTCTGATGGGGAATGAATTTTCCCTAGTTTTTGTTTGTTTGTTTAATGCCATACTGGGAATTGGGCAGCCTCTAAATCCAATAAAAGTCATAACTTCATGTTCCAACAAATAAGACCCACGTTTGGTTTGCTCAGCAAACTAATCAATAACCGGAGGGATAGTGGTTGTTCGGTGTATTGACAAATTATGCACATGGGGGACCCCTGCACGCAGGTCTTCCTGAATGAAGTATCGCTTGTTCCCAGGGGCAATTCTTCTCCTTCCTCCAAATTGCAGAAGAGACGCTGGCTCCTCTAGTATCGGGATTCGGCTTCTGAGAATCGGCCAACAGAGCCGCCTCGTCTCGCTTGGACAAACCGAAAGGTAGGCAAAGCTGCCGCGTCCTTTTTCAGGCCTTGAGCGAAAAGCTAGTTTGTTTTCTGGCACCTCCGGGATCGGTGGGCGCGCGCGGGGGGGGGGAGTGCGCGCTCAGCTGGGAACCCACGACTCCTGTTTCCTCCCTGTCCCCCGCTCCCCCCCCCCCAGCACACGTTCGGCTCATCGGGCGGATGAAATTCCTAATGGCTCCCGGAGCCACTAGGGTCTTCGCTGGGCAGACTTGTGAAAGTTGTTCCCGGTATGTAAATTAGGTCCCCAAAGCTGTTGTCCAAATCGAAGAAACAGAGAAATTAATCTGGGAGACTATCCATCATAGACTGTAATAAAGGGAGCGACATGGATGAGACAGATGATATGATTAAGGAGCTGTGGTCGTTTTAATTAACTTTTCGCTGTCCTGTAATGATCAAACTGGTCAACAGACCCGGTCAATAAGCATGTTAATATCAAACAAATAAAACCAGGGATGATTAAAAACCTCCCGGTTTATTAAATTTGAAATTCAAATGAAATTTATGTGCAGATGCAGACGGAATGCTAATGGCCCGTCACTTTCGCCAAAGCAGCGGATGCTACAGGTTTGCAAGAAAACGTGCGGACCTCTCTCTGCCAAGCAGCGAAAGGAATTGGTGCGCTTATTATCTCCATGAATTTGGAGGCGAAAGCTTTTTTTTCTCCCCCAAGGTCCCAGTCCTCAGAAATTCCTATCTCGCCCTCTTCCCAACCCACACCCCTAAAGAACCGGAGCTGTCTGAGGACTGTACCCAGCCGGGACAAACCACAGGTTTTAGACCTAGAGGAAGGGGCATAGAAAGGGGAAGTCTGCTAGTGGATGAGCATCCTGCGCGCATACACCCTCCGCACACAAAGTTGCCTTCTTCCCCCTTTCCCTCAGTTCTTAGACGCCGCAAGCTACACCGAGGCTTTGTTTCTCTTTCCCTCGTTTACTCTCTGGTTAAGCACAGAGAGTGCAGTTCTTCCGCGGAGATATTTTCTAAGTTGTGAAAATTTCTAATTTGGGTAGATGCTGCTTTTTAGTAGTGAAGTTGAAAGAAAAGAAAATAGAAGTAATCTATGGAAATAAGCATTTTTGAAGTCTTCTGAAAACATATAATAACTGGGGAGATTTTGAAATGAATAACTGAGAAGAAAAGGAGGAAAGCGTTTTCTTTTTTCCCTTAACGAATTTGATCTAATTAAGGGTCCTTGTTTGCAGGGATCTCTTTAGAACAGGCAGCAGCCAGCTGCCTTTCCCCGGTTTGGAGAGAGGCATTGACCCCATTGATTCCCGCCCCACTCCTAAATCTGCAGGTCTAAATCTGCCCTTCTGGTGCAGCGGAAAAGGCAACAGATCCCGGATCTCAACAGTCACTTCTCCGTCCGGACTCCCCGTTAAAGCACCCCCTCGCTCTTTTTCACCCACGTTCCCAACCCCATCCCCTTTCTGTGGGTGCTTGGTGGGGGGAGGGTCAAGGAGTAGTATTGATTCAATTTAAATCCGAAATTTAAACAAGTGTGCATTAGGTCTTTAAAATGAATATCATTACAGAAGGAGACCAAAGGCACGAAGTTAATTCTTTTTATTTGTTAAACGCCGCTCCCTCCCTCCCTCCACCCGTTCCTCCTCCTGGGCTGGCCTGTCCCGCCTTCTCAACAGGCTCAAGTCACTCAGAGCAGCTCAGCGAGAGGAGCGCCGCATTCATGGTTAACCGTCAGCCTTCAGAGAAAGACAGCAGTTCATTAATTTACTTCGCTCCTTACTTCCAAGTATGACCATGTCTCTTACCCCGTAATCAATAGCTATGATGCGCAGTCAATAGCCACAAAGCATTAAAACCTCCCCCACCTCCGTATAAAAAAAGGGGGGGGGAGAAGCCCGGAATTGGCTATAGAGGTGAGGTATCTCAGCACGGGATACCTCACTTCTATATCTATCTGGTTTCTCCTAAAAGTTTGGAGTAGGCGGAAAATTCGGGCTACAATCATATTGCAAGCAAGGGACTGGGGCGCTCTCTACATTAATGTTAATCCTAATAAAAGTAAACCCTTCTCATCTGAAAATAATACGGGGAACAAAATTTCCGGTACATTCTCCTAACGAAAGGTCCTCTTCTGGTTAAAGCAAATGGGTTGCATTTTAGTGGTGATGGTTGTGGCGATGACCACCATCATAATAAATAAGGATGCTTTGGTGGGAGTCTAAAATCCCTCCATTTAACACTTGGGGTCAAGCGATTTCACTCCACTGAAAACGGAGCTATTCCCATTTGAACAAAAAAGAGTAAGAGGGGAAAAATATCTGAAATACATAGTGCGGAATCCCAACCCCAAACTTTTTATTGTTCAAAACAAAAGAAATATGACGTTCTGAGTGCTTAAAATCCGGTTGAAATAATCAGGAATGCACCAGGAAATTGGAGTCTAAAATATTTACATGTATATATCGACATACACAACTTCATCTTTTTCCAGGAAATAAAAAAAGGGAAGGAAGGAAGGGAGGAAGGAAGGAAGGAAGGGAGGAAGGAAGGAAGGAAGGAAGGAAGGAAGGAGGGAGGGAGGGAGGGAGGGAGGGAGACCCATCGACTGTAAAGTGGCCTGATCCAGGGAGACCCACCGCCCTTTCACACGACTAGACTCCTTGGTGTTACAAAAGGGCTGGGTGAGTGGGTGGTCAGATTGGAGAAGGGCAGGTTCCCCCTTTCAGAAAAGCGGAGCTTTCTCAGCCATCTAAACGATTGCTGCGGAGACCTGGGGTGTGGGGGAAGGCGGAAGGGACCACAGACTAAAAGAGACAGGCGTCGAAACTACAGTAGCAGCTCGCCAAGCGAGCGCGCCCGCTCTCACATGCACGCGAAGTCTCATGCAGAGGGACGCGTTTCTTCTTTCCGTCTGCGGGGCTGAATAGCTGAGCAACCTTCCGCGAAACGGGAGCTTGTAAAAAGGAAGGAAGAAACGGGCAGGCGGAGCGCGCGCTGCGAGGAACGCCGCAGCTCCTTGCGGTCTCCCTGCATGCCAGCTTTCGCCAGGCGCCCGCCTTTTCGCCAGCCCGCTCCGTGCGCTGTGCAGCAGCCCCTGGAAGGAGCGGGCGGCGGCGGCGGCGGCGCTGATGACCTCACGCGGCAACGCAGCGGAGCGGCCGACGGCGCCGCAGATTGGCTGGCGCGGCCTCAGCGGCACTTCAAAGCGAGAGAGGGAGCTACAATTGTGGTGGAATGGGCGGAACTGATCATTGTATTGCACACCTCTAAAAAAATACTGCCTCTGATTTATCAATATAAAAAAGATCCTCTGAGAGGAGGAGGGCACTTTGTGGGATGGCAACTTCACTTCTAGGGGTGAGTCCGAGGGTGTGCTTTCCCCCTCTTCTGGCCCCCCCCCGCTTTGCTGTTTTAATTGGGTCCTTTTTATTGGCGGTCGCGGAGCAGGGTTAAGGCAGCCCCTCTCTTGACCGGGGGCTATTGAGGGTTTCAGTTTTGCTTTTTCTCTTGACTCAGGCGAGTTTCGGAGAAAAGAAAGGAGGAGAGGGGGGAAGGGGAGGGGGAAAAGGGCAGCCACTTTTTTCAACCCCCTTGACAGCGTGCAGGAAAAGGTTTTAAGGGCATTAGCCCTTAAGAACCTCCAGAGCTCGGGCTGAGCTATTCCTGTATCCCCGGAGAACTGGCCTCTCTGTTGTCGACGCGGACGGGGAAAAACAGCTGCCTCGCTTGATCTTTTTTTCTCCCTGTGAGATCTTTTTTTTTAAAAAAAAAAAAAAAAAAAAATTGCAGCAGCTTGTTGCTGTTGTTGATCCCCCCCCCTTCCTTTTAAAAATTTCTCTGAGCCCGACATTTCCTGCAGGTATGTTGATTATCTCTGTTTCCTTGAGGTATGAATATAAAAGTTGGGGGGGGGGAGAGAATGCTATGAGTGAACTCGGAAACTAAAGGGACCTTAAAAACAACAACTTTAATCTGCGGCTACAGCCAGTTTTAATTGCTAGATGGGAATGGCTGAGGATTAAATGCACTAATGCTCTTTGGTGCTTTCGGGAGGAGAAAGAAGGAATCATATGCTGTAGAAACCCAGCACCTAAGAACTGGGGCTTAGTCAGTACCGGAACCTTTCAGTTTTCAGATTTTCCTTTTGAGTCTGGGTTTCTGGATGGGGCTGAGATTCAGTTCTCGATCTCTTTGGCCGGACTCCGGGCTGCGAGCCAATCTCAACCAAAGAAGCCAGTGAGCTTTCCTAAAAGACGCCTTTCCAGGGCTTGTGAGGAGAGGTCGGGGGAGGGGGTGTCATTTCTTCTCATGGAATCAAGAGGAGGGGTAAAGGACCGCAAAGGTTCCTCGCCTTAGCCCCCCATTTCCCCGTCCGCAGGCGAGGCTACCGGGCGCGGATCCTGCTCTGGGCGGGCTGCAGCGGGCATCTTTGCTGGCGGAAGATGACGGGTGCTGTCCCGGACTTCTCTCTCCGTTTTCTGCAGGAAGAACCGCGTCTCGGCTCCACTCCACTGGCCATGCTCGCCGCCACCTGCAACAAGATCGGCAGCCCCAGTCCCTCGCCGTCGGTCCTGTCTGACAGCACCTCATCCTTCGGCAAAGGCTTCCACCCGTGGAAACGTTCCTCATCTTCGGGCAGCTGCAACGTGGTAGGCTCCAGTCTGAGTGGTGTCGGAGTCTCGGCCTCGACCCGTAACGGTTCCTCAGCTCACGCCGCGGCCGCGGCAGCGGCAGCAGCAGCGGCGGCGGCCCTGGTCTCGGACTCTTTCAGCTGCGCCGGCTCGCCTGGATCCAGCGCCTTCTCGCTCACTTCGAGCGGCGCGGCGGCCGGCTCGCCCTTCGCCAACGACTACTCCGTATTCCAGGCGCCCGGGCCGGCGGGTGGTGGTGGCGGCGGCGGCGGCGGCGGCGGCAACGGGGCAGCTCCAGACACAACCGCCGCTCATCAGCCGGTCTTCATCTCCAAGGTGCACACCTCGGTGGAGGGCCTGCAAGGCATCTACCCGCGCGTGGGCATGGCGCACCCCTACGAATCCTGGTTCAAGCCCTCGCACCCGAGCGACGCTGGCGCCTCCAGCTGGTGGGACGTGGGCGCCGGCTGGCTGGACGTGCAGAACCCCAACGGCGTCCACCCGGCCGCTGCCGCGGCCAGCGGTCTCCAAGCGGGTTCCTTGCACTCGCCACTGGGCGCCTACAACTCGGATTACTCTGGCCTGACGGGCCACTCGGCCTTTAGCAGCAGCGCCGCTTCGTCGCATCTCCTTAGCCCCGCCGGGCAGCATCTCATGGACGGATTTAAGCCGGTGCTGCCGGGCTCCTACCCGGACGCGGCTCCCTCACCCCTGACGTCTGGAGCTGGCGCCTCCATGCTGGGAGCCGGACCCTCCGCGCCACTAGGCGGCTCCCCGCGCTCGTCAGCCCGGCGCTACTCGGGCCGCGCCACTTGTGACTGCCCCAATTGCCAGGAGGCGGAGCGGTTGGGCCCGGCGGGTGCCAGCTTGAGGCGCAAGGGCTTGCACAGCTGCCACATCCCCGGCTGTGGCAAAGTCTACGGCAAGACGTCGCACCTCAAGGCGCACCTGCGCTGGCACACGGGCGAGCGGCCCTTCGTCTGCAATTGGCTCTTCTGCGGCAAGCGCTTCACGCGCTCGGACGAGCTGCAGCGCCACCTGCGCACGCACACGGGCGAGAAGCGCTTCGCCTGCCCGGTGTGCAACAAGCGCTTCATGCGCAGCGACCACCTAAGCAAGCACGTCAAGACTCACAGCGGCGGCGGCGGTGGCGGTGGAGGGAGCGGTAGTGGCGGTGGCTCAGGGGGCGGCAAGAAGGGCAGTGACACCGACAGCGAGCACAGCGCCCCCGGCAGCCCACCCTGCCACTCGCCGGAGTTGCTCCAGACCCCCGAACCGGGCCACCGGAATGGCCTGGAGTGAAAATCGCTCTGAGCGCGCCGGCGGAGTCCAGGCTGAGGAGGACCTGGCTTTGCTGTTCCCGGCTCTCGTCTCCCTCCTCCTCCCTCTTCATCTTCTGTCTCTCTTTCTCCCTTTCTTGTTCGGATCCACCACGCTTTCAGCCCTCCCATTTCGTAGCCTCCCGCCCGCTGGGCCAAAGGGGATCTGGACGTCGAATATCGCGCTCCAGCCAACGCGGACTCGCAGCCAGATCCCTGCCCAGAAAAGGGACTTCTGTCGCCGAGCGGCTGCTCCAGAGACATCCGCGCCGGAGGGGAAGAGGTTTGGGGCGCTCCAAGCAATGGGAGGGCGGGGATCGGGCTCTCGGCAAGGACCAGAGCTTCTCTTAAGCGCCCTTGAGAGAGGGAGAGGCGGCTGTTCGGGGGAGTAGGGAAGGGGAGAGTAGGGAAGAGCCCAAGACCTCCCGCTGAAAGCACTTTGAATATTATGAGATGCTTTTTATTAATATTATTATTTCAAAGAATTACTCCAAACGTTAAATTTCTATTCAGTTTTGCTCCGAAACTGCAGTGCTCACTCGCTTTCTCTGGAATGTTGCAACTAATGGGGTTACTCTGGAGGAAGTGGGTGAAACCTAAAAAGTGTGCGTGTGTGGAAGTGAGAGTGAATGTAGGCGTGATCGCATAGTGCCCCATTTGCAATTCAGTTCTGTCAAAGAGGATCCCGCCTTGGTAGATATTACAAAATAAACTGGGCTAGGCTTTTTTTTTCCGATGTCTTTTCTGTCTAGCACTTCCAAGTATTCTGTGCTTCAGCGAGTGGTTCAAAATAACTAAGATTCTAGTCTTAGTTGGAGGTTGTCTTTTATTTCGGCTTCTTCCCCCCCCCCCACCAAAAAAAGTTCTAATAAAAACAGACCAGGAACTTTCAAATAAACGGATGCTTAAGATGCCATTGACTTGGGGGAGAAAAAAAAAATCAGATTTAACAACCATTAAAGAAAAATCCCCTTGTTTTAACCAACTCAGCATGCAGCCATATAGCCTTTACTCAGAAATCAGTAAGGTTGGGTTTCACAGATTTAAGTCCAAAATTATTTTCATAGACAATTTTTTTAATAATTATCCTTCAAACCCATTTATTCAGAATTAAGGCAAACTGAATTAAAGTTGCAAAGTTAAATAGACAGTGAGGATTCTTTCTGAGTATCTCTAGGATTGCATAGTAAATTGCCTTAAAATACTATCTTTTGCATGCTTTCCTAGGGATAAATTCCGCTCAGCATAAAGATATTTAATTTTTGGCTAACATTCATAAAGCTTTGCTGCACCCATCCTGGTCAATTAATCTATACATTTATAAGTCCAACTAGTTTTAAAAGTTTTGAACTGGGCTATTAATTTGAGTTTTCTGCTGTAATCAAGCATTGCTTAACTCATGATAAAAACTGACTCTTCAAAATACTTCCTGGAAAAAGTGTATCCAGTTGGTGCAGTTAATTATATAAACTTTATAATTGTTGTTGAAAGTTATGACCCAGTTAAAGTTTGTCCCATTGATTTCAATGAGATGTTAAAAATTATTTCTAATATTTTCTTTCTCAGTGAGATCAGTAAGACTCAAAATAGTTGACTGGTTAATATCCATTGGTTAAATATAAGGGACTTCCAATCTTCCCTATTATTATTTTAGAAGTTAGAGAAAAATAATGCAATTAAAAAATTCTTGTACCAGAACATCTGCTTGATTTCCAGAGTCCCAGCATCTCTAGTTATGTGATGCTTTTAAAACACCAAGGATACAATTTATTGTAATTTGTAGCATGATTTTTCTGACAGTAAGAAATATGAAAGCAACCTGCCTTTTCTGCAAGTCTATAGTTTGCTAAAAACAAAACAAACAAACAAAAAAAAACCCCAGCCAACTAAACAAAAACACGGGGATAAAGTCAAATATTAGTAAAATAGTTCTAAACCTAATGACTTGTACAACAGAAATTGTTGTAAAATTCCTAACAATTTAATATAATTCCACCACTGTATTGGTGTGAGGCGCAGTTGTCCAGGGGACGATTTTGTATAGTATTTTTCTTGTATATTACTTCCAGTAAATATCTGAAAATATATGAAAGTACACTTGAGCTTTCTTTTTTTTCTTTGAAAAAAAATCATTTTTCCTTTTTTGTCACAAAATATTAAATCATTATTGTTGCAGTCTTAATTAACTGCATTTTTTATAAAAATATGTCCTTTGAAGTGTACAGCAAATTGCACTTCAGAATATAGTTTTGCTTGAATATTAATTTAGTTAGGCATAAGACCGTAATTAAACAAACAAGATTGGATAAATGTTGAATGCCATTTCATTTAGTGGAGCATGTACTTTTTTACATTTTTTGACAGTTCAGGTATAGTTTAAGTGAGAATCCTCCTATATTTCACACAGTGGGCTCATCTAGACCCATATATTAAATAAACTGTCCAAGTGATGCAGACAAATAATGGCCTCTGCTTTTCCTGAAAATAAAGATGGTGAATGTTAATAACGCACTCCTGGTGTTACCCAAACATCACAATCCTATGCATGTTTCCTTAGGAATCCTACTGTCTTCAGTAGGTCTTATTCCTAAATATGGTTAGGATTGTTCTCTGCAAGTTTGCAAACTCTGCAAACAAATTGTCTCATTGTAATGTTGAAATAAGTTTGGATATTTCACATTGAAATGAAAAGAATGAAAGAAACAAAGGAAGGAAGAAAAAACCTTTTCTCTGGAATACTTTAAAATTGCATTTTAAATGCATGAAATGTAATTGACTTTTATCTGTAAGATTTTAAATGGAATTAATAAACAGCACATAAAATATTTGTTGTTAGGGTTAGTTAATTTCTTTCTCAGGATAATAATGGAGTATCTTCAAGACATTGCAATTTGTTTTTCCGGGACTGGGATCCCTTTGGAAAACAGCGCTATTAGAGTCTGTTACCCCCCCCCCCCCGCGCGCAGTCTTCCTGGGCAAGTCTTTCTAGAAGTAATAGGTAAATGTATGCTCAGGAAAGAGCCTCTATTAAAGACAGCTGGGTTTGCTTTGAGGTAAGAAGCTTTAGAAACTAATGCAACGAACATTGTTACCCCCCTCCCATTTATGTTGTTTGTATGAATATTGGCAACAAACAATTTCACATTCAAATATTAGTTTGTTAATGATTTTCAGGAGATCAACTGGGACAGTTAAAGTTTGGAAATATTATTCAGTAGTTGGCTCGCTGTATACATGGAATGCTTATTTTTATTATTTTACAAGTAACTTGACTTATAACTTCTTCTTACAGTGAGTGAGTGAGGTACAAAACTGCTATTATTATCCTATGACGATTGAATCTATTAAATACATTGATCTCTGTTATTAATCCTTAATGATAAGAACAAACACAACCTTTGAAGCTTCTTTTCGGGTCAAGCAGTTTAGGGCCATAGATTTGGAAGGGGGGGGGGAATAGCCTAAGGTTGAAAAAAACCAAGTTAACTATTAAGCAGTCTCTCCTCAATAGATCCAAGCCTGAAGTTTGAAAGTTGTTGATTGTTCTGATCCCTGGCTGTTCGCCACCGTAAAAAGGAAATCCTGTTCGGTTGAAATGTAAAGAAAAGATCACAGAGTCGGCAGTCGGTGGATTTTTTTTTTTTTTAATAAGTTGCTGTCCGAATCCCGTCGCCACTTCCTCCGGGAGCGAATAGAGATCTGGGAAAAAAAAAAATAATAATGCAAACTTGAGCTTGGGGGAATTCTGGCGCCAAATAGTTCCCTTTGATTTCGTTCATCTCCGCGGTGCAATCCGGAGAGCTGCCACTTTGCCCAGTGGTTTCGCGTGGCACCTCCCTTTCCAACGGGGAGGCAAAAGTGAAAGTTAGGCTAGGCTGTACCTTAAATAATGGAAAAGTAATCAGCAAGAGAATCCTAATCTTGCCGTGGAGCTGAGAACTGCGAAATAGCCACAACTGTAAAAAATATATCTGTTGTATGGCCGCTGCTGTTGTTTTTTCCTGGATTTTGAGACCATATTACGGTCTTTGCAAGGCGCGCTTTGCAGTTCTTTTCCAACCTCCATCTCCTCCAAGCAAAGAAAAAGGTCGCCAGCCTCATGGACGCACTTGCCTGCAGTGCTGCCCCCGGCCACCTTTTTGTTTTGGCTTTGGCAAAGCTGGACAACGCAAAGGGGGAGTTGAAACTAGAGGTCCGGCAGGCGAGGCAGCGCCAATCTCTCCTTTTTTCCTGCCTAGCAAGGTGAGCTTCAGGGTTGGGGCGGGGATGGGTTTGGCTGCCCCACAGGAGGGCCCCGAGGTGATTCCGGGCTCCTGCCCCAGCTGAAAGCTGGAGCTGCTTTTGGCTTGATGCCCTGGCTATGCGTATTCTGCGCTACTGAGTGGGAACTGCGGAGGTGAGGGAGATCTCGACCTTGGTGCAAAAAGAAAAGAAAAAGAAAAAGAAAAAAAAACCCTCTTTCTGCAAGCTCATGGGTGCTTTCAACCGAAATCTCTCCCAGCTAGGAAAAACTCAGCCGGGTTGTGGGATGGAGGCAGCGGGCGGGCGGGAAGGCGGAGGCAATCCGCCTTAGCTATTTGCTCTTTGACTTTGTAAATAGATCTTCTGCAAAGCAGACTTGGGCGTCTTACTCCCAAGTTTCAGTCAATGAGGAAGTGGGGCGGGGACAGAACCAATACTCGGTTTAATACCTTAGGATCGCACCAGCTCTCTCTCCACTTAGGTATTTGCAGTTGGAATAGGATTAGCCAAATTGGATGTATTTGGGGCCAATGGGAAAAAAGGAGACGGAAGACTCGCATCCGGTATGCCCCGTTCCTTTGCTCAGTTACATAACCTCTAGAGAAAGTACGTTTGATGCCTTCTACCACTTCAAACCCCACCGTTTGAAGTGGTAGGATGTGACCCCATTGACTATGGTGGAGCTAAGCATTGCTGCAGTCCTAATAGGCAGTCTTACGTGGCCAAATCTTCTTTAAAAGTGAGCTCCATTGAATCCTGTCCAAAGAAGACTGTAGATAGAATCGCAACCTTGTAAACATGTGTAGCTTATCTTTAACTTGGAATAAATGCATTTAGGATCGGGCTTTAACTCTGACATCTAATTCGGAGCTTTGGAAGGGCTAATAAATAATATATTATACTGTATGCGGAGGTGCCTTTCTGAAAGAAAAGGAGGAAAAATGACAATAATGGCTTAAACTGAGGTATGGAATAATCAACCACAGGTGTCTTTCTGCCATGATCGAGAACACGTGCAAGGTGTCTCACGGACGGCGGTGATTTAAGATTCTTCTCACTCTTGGTTGGGGGCAGCCTCATCTCTGAGCCTCCGACATTTAAAGGCAAACTTCCTTGCAAGCAGCAAGGAAAGCCAACTTTCCTTGCTACTTGCATCTCTTTTGGAAAGGCGTTTTGTTTGTCTTGTGGACGGGGAAAGTGTTGCATAACTAGAAGAAATGCTTTCGCTTGCTTTCTTTTTAGACCTAATACTCAATGGGTGCTGGGGTCACACAGTAGGCCGGGCCAGACTAGACTAGGCTAAAATAGGGCTGGGCCGTTTGTGTTATAGGAACCCAGTCAACCACTATCCACGTCTACATGTACGAAGCCATCACGTCAAACTATAAAACGTCTAGAGCATATTCTGAAGACACTGCGGTTGTGTTTTGTTAATCCTGATTTAAGACCGAGCATGTTTTGGTACCTCAGTTGCAGGGTCGATCACGGACGGAATTCAAATCCCTGCTCAGTTTGGAAAGGCAGGCCGAGATTTGGGTCAATCACTCAGTCGGACCAGCTTCAAAGGGTTGTAGAAGGATAAAGGGGGACAAAAAGAGAGAGGGCGTTGCTTTGAACTATTAGAAGGGATGATGAGTTAAATTCACACAGAGTTATACTAATGGTTTGATGCTGGACAGAAAGTTCCTTCCACCGGTGTCAGGAAAAGCAACAGTTTGAGGCTTTTCCTGTGTATTAATATGCATTCTAAATTCGGCGCTGGCACTTATTATCGATCTGGAAGAAAGATGCGCTCTAGAGCCACTCAAAGACATCTTAGAATAGTTTATCTATCCCTTGGTTCTGTCGCAGTCCTAACTATCCTGGGGTTTTGTTTCTGAAGAACTGCCTTTTTCCTTGAAGGACCGCTTTTTGAGCCAGGAATTCAATGGCACGTCCAGACTGGGTGGCTGAGCTGCCGTCCCAAAATACAAAATACCAAAAGCCATACTGATTCCCGGGCACTATTATCCCTATTAGGGTCCTTAATGATTGCAAGTTTCGAAGTGTGTGAGGGAAGGAGGTAGAAATCTCACCACCCGGAGACCATAAGATTTACTGTGACTTACGGGCTAGCAAATTCAATTACCATTCTGTAGGACATCTATAGCTCCCAAAATTTCAGTTCGGACCTAACACGGGAATTCCTACCGGAACCCGGGAAAGTAAAATGGCTACGGTTTAAGTTAAATGCTGGGAACGACATAAACTCGCGGAGATTCGGGTCAGTCGTGCAGTCCCCGAAGGACGCGGGGATCTGGATCTGCGTGTGAGCTTTACTCTCTCCTGGGACAAAGCCTGGGGCGGTGCTTTGAGTTCCTCGCGAAGTGATTGCGGGACATTTGTTTCCTGGACTGGAGGGGAAGCGTCGTTTCCTGGGAAATCGCCCCTCCTCCCCCGATTTTACTTCTGCCGGTCTAGACCAATTATATCCCGGATTAAGAGACCATCACTTGAGGAGAGCCTCCTGTCCAGGTGACTATCCTTTCCTTCCCTCTGAGCCTCATTGCGGAATAATGGCTTGAAAGAACCAGAGGAAATTGCTTGACCTCCGGCCGGGAAAGCCCAAGTCCGGAGGCAAGTTTAAGGCCAATCGCGAGAGCTCGCGAGAGGTACGGAGGTAGTTTTTGGTGAAAGTATAGGAAGGCGACCTCCATTTGACCGAGCATTCGATACTAGCACCCCCGCCGGCGTTTTCTAGTGTTTGTTTTGTGTGGCCACCGGTCTTAAAATAACTCTCTCCCCGCTCGGCTTCCCTTTTGGGGCTCTGCCCGTGGGCTAAGTGACTTGGAGACTTGGCTCGCCTTTGCTGCGCGTAAGTGCGAAAGAGCCTTTAAGGAATCAAATAAGGCACCTTACGCCTTACAGACGGGTGGACGGGCTAGACAGAAAGGGGGTAATTGCGTGATGGTTTCCAAAGCCGACTTTGGTGCTTGCGCGGATTTGGCAGCCTACTAGGTGCTGAAGCGCCTGAGAGCACAGCCAAGTTCGCCGACTTCGGGAGTGGAGAAACAGCGCCGCCTGCCGACTGAATTGAAGTTGCTCGGGCGTTGGCCGAGAGACAAGAAGCGCCGCGAGTCCCGCAACCGGCAGCGAGCTTTTTAAGTTAGCCAAAACTTTCCGCCAGTTTTGTTAGACGTAGGGTCGATGCAGAAAGTATTGTTTTTCTTATTTTTTAAATAAAAAAAACACATTAAGGAAAGTAAAGGTGGAAAATATTGAGGCTGAGTGATTAAAATGTATTTTTCTTGCCCGTTTTCTGGTGCTCCCTCTCTGATCTCGAGATTGGCACTTTGTTTTTCTCTTTTGTTGTGCCCACCTCGGTTTCTGCCAGCCCAAATGCTACTAAGCGGATCTGAGGAAGCTGGCTACGTTTTCTCAGATCTCTTCCGCTCGTCCTTGGCTCCAAGCTCCTTAGCTGCGGACCTTTAGCGGGACTCAGCCTTTCTTTCAGCTACATCAGATCTCACCGGAACAGAGTGAAGAAGAAATATTTTTCAGAATCGGTGGTTAAAGCAAAGGAATCAACAGAACTAAAAGAAGGAAGGAAATACCGGGCAGAATGAGATCTCCTTCCGTGTTTTAAAAAGTTAACCCCAGAATTAAAGCAACTGAAACGGAGGGATTTGATCTCCTCCGTGCTGAGGAACTTGCTTTAATTTCTTTACAAAGGAAACCTATTATAAACAAGAAAATATTTCTGTTGCATGTACAAGGACTTAAAGCGCTTAAGTGCTCTTACAAAAAGTCATGGCTTGATAGATGTTTGGACAGGGAACTTCATGATATGTATAAGAAATTATGCTATTCTTAGACAATAATGATGATAATACAAGTAACTTTTCCTGGTAGCAGTAGAAAAACCAGGTCAAGCTAGAATGGCTAATGCTGGTATAGAGATGAATCCATACCTGTATAGCAGGCACAAGATAATCAATCATACCTTTGCCATTTTCAAGAGAGGTGTGCAGATCCAACCTGACTCAACTCTTAGTAACAAAGATTCCCAAAAACAATTTTGACTATGTACATGGCACATTACATGGCACATTATCTACACAAGTAAAGTTAATTTATTTTGGTTCAATTTTTATTGGTCCTTTTACACATAAATTCACATACAGTCTACTCTTCTCAACAGCAGTATTGGACAAAATGGTCAACTGGATCTGTGGAAACCTGCTTCAAATTCAACTTTAGCTATGGAAGCTCACTGGCTGACTCTAGGCCTGCTATTAAATTTCTTGTCATAGCCAGGATTGGCACTGGATTAGTGCCAAAACAAAAACAAGCTAGAAAAAGATGACCTCTGCTGTCTCCAGGACACCAACTATGCTTTCCAAGAAGACCCTACCAACAGCCAGTTTGCAGTAACTTCATTGAAATAATCTTATTCTTATTTTTTAGAGAGGTAAAGACACATAGTTTAATGCAACTCCCTAGCTAGAACTATTCAAATGGATTAAAACTCCCTTTATTCACAACCAGCTATCTCAATACATGCCATATTCCCTCCCTCCCCCACAATGAGAAGTGTAATTTGATCCTGGCACACTGGATCAAACATATAGGAATATATAAAGTGTCCTTGAACATTTTATGTAGGAAAACACATTGTAGAATGCACAAAAATTGAACCAAAACAAATTAATTTCACTTGTGTAGATGATGTGCCATGTAACAGAATACACAGCCAAAATTGTGTTTTGGAATCTCTGTTACTGAGGTTTGAGTCAGGTTGGATCAGCATGCCTCTCCTGAAAATGGCAAAGGTATGATGTTTATTTCGTGTCTGCTATACAGGTATGGATTCACCTCCGTACCAACTCTTTCTCACCCGAGACTTACCATTCAATCACATCAGAAAACCTGGCCTCAATACAATGCAGAGTTATGTCAGCAACCTGTCTGATTTAATTTCCATCCGTAACATGAGAAGAATGCCTAGATATTGGATTCACTTGAACTGATTGTCTGGTGTTTCAATGGCACTAAGAAAATATGCTTAAACCTGCCAGGATGCAAAGTAGATTTCTGCCAAATGAAAGTTCGGCTGCTTTTTAAGTGCATGTCTAAAGTTTTGTGGATAGCCATTTCTGCAAATTATATGTTACAATACAGTCAACAGGATTCCTGATTCCTTCAGTACTTTTTGAAACTTTAAATACAAATGCCTACAGAAATACAGAAATGAAAGTCTTGGTGCTTCAGTGAGTTGAGAATGAAAAATTAGAAATCTAATGATCTAGAAATATTGTCCACACTATCAATTCAGTAAGGGGAGACACTCCTGTTTGTAATATTTTCTTGAAGTTTTTCTTTAATTATCCTTTTTTAAACAGGTGTTTTATATTACACGGTATTGCTTAACAATAAAGTTATGTACTTCCAATTGCCCCTTTAATACAACATCTGGCAGAAATGTCTGTATCAATATTCAAAACTATTGAGTTCAACCTTCCCACTTTTTGAAATATGTCAGGGCACTCTGAGGATCCCATTAAAATCTATCTGTATTTCTAACAACATTGCAGACTTGTTTTTTTTGTTTTTTTTTTACTAAACTTCCTTTGAACTGTCAATGTTCACAATTCAGATTTTGGATATTGAATATTAGAATGTAAAAAAAAAATCTGATCATGAATACTTAAGTACAAAATCTCACAGGTATTTTTGTGATTAAAGTGACACCTACAATTTTTGTACAAAACAAGTTTGACATAAAAATGCCCAAGCTATTGGATTAATATGGGCAGTATCATGTTGTACACAAAATTCTAGTGTGTGAATAGATATTGGCACTTTTGTGATTAGACAATGCCCTGCTTGTATATTGAAGATCACTAATACGAACCTTAAGGACACAAGGACTTATGTTGCTATGTAGATTTCTTTTATGGTACTCGCCAGACTCTCTGGTCCCTTAATTTTCTTTGAAATATTTTTAATGAAAAACTTTAAAAAGAAACAAGGGTGTCTGCACAAGAGGCATGAAACTGAATACCATTGTTTCCAAGAATTTTTCAACAGAAAAATGGTGAATGTCTGCAGTCTAAGATTTGGTTCTGAAAAATGCCCAGATGTCTAGGAAGTGAAAAGAAGTTGGAATTGTGCAGAGAAATCTGATAGACTTGAAGTGACATTCTTGGCAAAAAAAAAAAAGATGGTGGAAGATAAAGCAGGCATTTTGAATATTGTAAAAATGTAATGTGATTGATCTTCACTTGTGTAATTTCACTTGCATCTTTTGATGTGCATGGGGGAACTTTGAATAAATAGATTTCTGACCAAAACCTTGCATTCTGCAAAATGGTTTTTTTTGTTCTCCCTGGGAGGGAGTATATGACTCAGAATTCTTATGTGACTTACAAGCAGCTTTTTGACCAACCATTTTATCTTGTGTTTTGTTAGATTTCTGCCTGGGAATGTTTTGTGACTGGTCATGCCACCGTGACAATGACATTCAAAATATACCCATCAGTTCAGAAGGATACAGCAGATTCCTTACATTGCTATATGAGCACAACTCTTTCTGTGCTGAGTGAGCAGTCAGCAAAAATGCATAGATTAAAAACTGCTCTGCGATATTGTTTTTAAAACCTGCACTTTTCTAGGACTTTCAGAAAATCTCACTTGCTAAATCTGGATGCCCATTAGGTGGCAGGCAAGAGAAGCATAACCATAAATTTTGCTGTGATGGCCACCTGGATTTTTTGCAACACATGTTCTTGTAGCTCTATGTTTGAGGCATTAGTTGAAACTTCAGAAACCACCCAACGGATTGCCTTTGTTTCTGAAGCAAGACTCATTCAATCAAATTTGCCCCGAAGTTTAACATAGATTTTTTTGTGTGTATGTCGGTTGGGATAAGTTGCCAAAAGTTCAAGCAACTCAAAATTTTCTGGTCAGCTTTATGTAAAATATGCAGGGATGTTTTAGCTAAAATCCTTTAAAATCAACGTTTGAGTAGATGGAGGGGGAAGGAGCTGCAGAAGTTGCCAATCATGGCATTACTGTAAAAACAGATGGCTCTGAAACTAAGATTGTCTCTGGGCCGCTTTTTGTGCTCCTGCTCCTACATGCCATTCAGTTTAGTAAAAAAAAAAAAAAAAAAAGAATGACAAAAAGAAGTCAGAAAAAGAAGTCAATCACTTGTAGCAAAGAGTGGTACATGATCCTGTCATTTTCTTTCAGACTGCTGCAGCCTGGCACAAAACTGGCACAGGTACAGAAAAGGCCTTCTCAAGGATACCAGTTGGGTGACTTTGCACTATAGTGCAAATCCAGCAGCACAGTGATAGCTTCTGCACCTGCCCCAAGCATATGTTAAAAAATCACATGTTCCTTTGAGATGAGCTTAGCTACTGACAATCTCATCAGTGGGTGTTTCCTTTGCAGCAGCATGAAAATGTGCAGTGATGAATGCTATCCTACTCAACTCTTTAGGGAGCAATGTTAAGGGTGACAAAGTGTAACAGCTTTTACACACTTTGAGGTTTCCAAATACCTTGATGGTTTCCAAATAAGGGAAAACATTACTGACAGTGATAAACTATGGATGACTTACAGCTGTTTAAGACATTGACTGGTGATGGGGGAGGGAATTGCTGTTATTCAGGTTAATTAAACTGCTGCTGACATTGTCAGTGGTGCCCTAGAATAAAGCAGAGACTGCGATGGCTTGAAACTGTAGAACTACAAATTGGGGTTGAAGCTTTTTGAGTGTCCAGATTCAAAACAGAAACAACATGGGCTACTCTTGCTTTACTCCTGCTTTGTTCCCAGGTTCTAAAAGATATGTTGAAATTACTATTGCTTTTTCTAGATTTAAGCTTAATCTGAATCTGATGCGTACTCAATTCTTTAATTAGTCATATTTTTTTCTTCTTCTCTTTAGGCTTCTTCTCTTTAGACTTTTCACTAGTGTTGCCTACATTGTTTTTTAATGTTGGCAACACATTTCTAAAAATATCTCCATTCTTGCCTTCTGATGATACATTTAGTGCATCCTTGCACAGACAAGGTTGCAACGACACTTGAGAAGGCTAGCATGTATGGTTACTTTTTCTCCTTTCTTTGTCTTTCTTTTAACAGAAATCAACATGGCTATGTCCCAAATATTTTGTGAATATATCAAGAGGAAGATGTTTTAATGTGCACACATTTCTTCCCAATTTCTTTTTAAAGTGAGGCAGAATAATAAGTTTATTTAACAGTTTCTATTCATTTAAAGCCAGTACACTTTGTTACATCACAGCTATACATTAAATTTATCACTAACTGAACCTTCTAAAAGTTGATCAGAAGATTTAAGTTGATAAGGGAAGCTGGTATAGCTATACAACCCATAAATTATTTTTTTTATTTTTTTTTATTTGTTTAAGAAAATGTATATGGCCATCCAACTTATTCTCAGTGACTCAGGGTGGCTTACAAAGATAAAAAGCCAATATAAAAACAACAACAAAAAAATAACCCACCCCCACTCCATCCTCTTGCTGATAAACAGTCAAAGAGTCATTTGATAGGTTTCCTCCCACTCTATGGTCCCCAGGCTGTTGGCAAAATTGGGTCTTAAGCATCTTGCAAAAGAGGATCGAAATGGGAGCTAAACTTATCTTTGCAAAGGTGATGTTCCACAGGAAGGGAACCACCATGGAGAAGGCCCTCCTTCATCCTGCTAAATGGACCTTCTTAGGAGAAGTTACCTATAGCATTCCCTGCCTCCCCACTTTGGTGAATTGGATAGCTGTGACCAAGAAAAGAGAGTTTTTCAAATAACCTGGTCCCAAGACATGAAGGTGCCAATCAGCACTTTGAATTGCACCCAGAAGCAAATCAGCAGTCAACGCAGTTCCTACTGGAGAGACAATACATGGCCTGCACAGAATCATATGGGTCACCACATTTTGAACCAATTAAAGCTTCTGCATACATTTCAAGAGCAGTCCCACATAAAGTGTGTTGAAATTGTCAAGATGTTAGGTAATTAGGATGTGAGTGACTATGAGCAGGGATTGTGGTCCAGGAAAGGGACAAATCTGGTCCACAATCTGCAGCTGCGCAAAGGCATTCCTGGCCATAATGCCACCTGCTCCTTCATCAGCAATTGTGAATCCAGGAGAACCTCCATATTATATACTGTCTGGGATAGTGCCATCACATCCAAGACCAGAGATGGACCAAGGACTCACAACTCAGAGATATTTGTTTTGCTAGGGTTCAGTTTGAGCCTGTTGCTCCCCATCCAGCTCTTAGCAGCCGCCAAACATTGTGAGAGGTAGGTCATGGCATCACCAACTCACCATGTACTGATACATATAACTGGGTCACACCACTATATTGAGGATATCTCAACCCATGGAGGCAAATGACTTATCCAGTGGCTTCATGTAGATGTTAAACAAAAGTGGAGAAAATATCATGCCCTTTGGGACCCTGCAAAGCAGGGGATGAGGGCTGGACCTCTCACTTGTTATCAATGGTGACTAAAAGTGACTACAGGGAAAGGAAGTTAACAAGGACAATACAGAGCCTCCCATTCCCAATCTCTGAAGCCATCCAGAAGGATACATGACCAATGATATTGAAGGCTTCTAAGAAATGGTAGAGTGAGGATGGATGCAATAACCCCATCCTGTTCTTGCCAGATACCATTAAAAAGTAGGACCAAGGCCATTTCCATCTTATACCAGGCTTGAACCCTGAGTGAAAAAGGTCTAGATACGTGGTGGCGAACCTATACACAGCACTCTCTGTGGGCACCCACGCAGTCGCCCCAGTCCTAGGCCTTCAGCTGGGTTTTGTAAATCCTTTTTGGTTTAGGTCTACATTGCCATGTGAAAAAAAGAGGTTCAATCAATCAATCAATTTCAACTTCTCGCGGAAAAAAAAAGATCTCGCAAAGTTGGAATTAATTGATTGAACTTTTTATTCCCACCCAGTCTGCCATTACCACCATAGCCACACCCATCCAATGGGCCACACCCACCCAATGGGCCACACCCACCCAGCACTCGATGATACATAAGTGGGTTTTGGGTTGCAGTTTGGGCACTTGGTCTCTAAAAGGTTCGCCATCACTGGTCTAGATAATCCAGTTTATACAGGAACCTCTAGAGCTGCCACACAACCACCTTCTCAACAACCTTCCCCTGAAAAGAAAGATTGGAGACAGAATGAAAATTACCCAATAGGGTAAAGTCTAATGAAGGCTTCTTAAGAAGAGGGCAGATCACAGCCTCCTTGTAATGCTGGGTAAGTGACCACTATCCTAGTTGGACCCTGGATGACCTGGGACATGGTTTTCATAAAATCCCAAGCTAATTCCAACCCCACCCTCAGTGATGATAGTCTGGGGAACTCCACTGTAAGTGTTGCAGTGAGGACCAGGAGCCTGGGTAAGGAAGCTGTCACACAGCAGGGAGGCTGGTACAGTAGCGGCAAACTTACCTGATCAAGGGTCACATAACTGGGCATGGCCATATTCCTGGAGGCTGCCTGAGATAAGCGTCTCTCAACAATGAACTGTAGGCACTACACTAAAGACATTTTCTTAAACACATTTAAGAAAAAGATGCGGCAAGGGGATTAATGCTACTTTTTCTGTGCCAGCCTGGTTCTTTGTGGTTTGCTTATTTCTGGGATGTTGTATGTCTGATGCCAGCAGAGTCTGTTCCTCTGATAACTAGCTCTCACAAAATATTGCTAGCAAGCAACCACTATGACATAATTGAATCGTGTCAGTGATGGTGGGGATCTTTCAAGGAATGGACAAGCTTGCTAATCAAAGATGATAACCCTTTTGACATTCCAGATGCCCTTCACAACAAAGATGAATCAATGGTAATTTTTTAGTCTTAAGCCAAGTTTGCTATCCTTGAAAAATAAATAGAAGAATTAGTTTAAGTGGTTTTAAAAATATTTTTATATTAAAGCTATGGTAGAACACTTTTTGCATTGGTTCAACACAATTAGATTCCTATTTGGAAGCCACGGTGCTTTTTAAAATTCATCCTTGCTATGTCTGCCTTAAAGGATTTGTGGGGTTACTTAAATTGTCAACCGTACCATCGGCATATGCAGCAAAAGAAACTCCTGGGACATTATTTTACCAATGGTATAACTTTACTGATAGATCCATATAGGCACAGTGGAAAGCAAAGCCAGTTCTAGCTTTTCGTGTGAAAAACTGCGTAGTTAAAATCTCCCTTTTCCCCGCTGGGCCACCCACGTGTCCACCAATCCAGTGCAATCTCTTTGTTTTGGGAAACAGTCTGCTCAGCTCAGAAGG